TTGAGGCAATAATAAAAGCATACTCATGTATATGAATGTTAAATTCTTCAAAGGCCTACAGATCTCTTTTTTTAATGACATGGTTGTGTAACAAGCTGAAAACTTTGACTTACTATTCCAAAGTTATAGAGTTTTATTCTAAACTTTACCTTGTAAAGTATAAAGTGCAGCCTAGAGACTGACTGGTCCAGGTACTCACATTCACTTTCAACAACCAAGTGTGCATTCACAAAACAACTGACGAGAATTTCTTTCTTTACTTATCAAGCATTAAGTGCAGTGTTTGTGTGAGAAACACAATGGACCTACAACAATAGCAAATAATTGCTATAAGTATAAAATTTGGGCACTGTGGTGTGGTAGAGTATAACTACTCCATTATGGATAAGATTTTCTGTTTTGATAAACTGTCACTCACAGTTTGTGTAGTGTTATACAGTAAGTAATATTAACTGATGCGACCACACGCTTCGAGCACAAACTGTCATTGCCACTCATAATCATCATATCAAGTCACTCACTCACACAACTTTCGTCTTCCTTCATTTATATACATGAGTGGAATTGATGATTAGACATTTGAATACAAATCAGTAATATGGGATAATGTACATTCAGGAATAATAATAATAATAATAAAATGAGTGTTATTGATCAACTACAATCAGATGGGAAATAAAACGAGTGTTTTTATAGTCAGATCTGATTTGACTGACTGGTGGTAATAATACCTTCCATATTTCTGGTATTTGTATTGAGTCATTTCTGTTGCATGTATTGTGTTGGATGTAGACTCAATGAACATGCCAGGATTCAGTAATCAATCTCTCTCTCGCTCTCCACCTACATAGATTACTTCTTAGAATTTTAACCCTCTCCCACCATGACGTTGTGTGGTTGTGTGTTAATGCATGCAGTGCAATGTAGTGCTGAGCTTTTTTCTAAATTATTTATCTTCTCGGTGGGGTCAACCATTCTTACCTTAGCTAAATTCTTATGTTCCGACAATCTGAATACCCCCGACCTACTAGTTTGACCATGTATGTAGTTGACCTAACTCACAGTCATTGCAAGGTATTTTGTAAATTATATTATTTTTTCTAATTGGGTTCACTGGGTCTTTTAGACTACGGAGCTTGTCCTACCTGAGTGAGTTTGTAGGTTTGAATGCCACCACCACCCTAATTCCTGCTTTATTTCGAATCCTACGTAGGCAGTGAGTATCTCAGATGTCCCCTCCTCATATGGTACAACTGCTGTAGATGCCTTATATTCTCTTATTTATCTTATCATAACTAGTTTCATTAGTATTTTTATGTCACTTTTGGCCTTTTTTGATCTTCTTAATGAATTTTATAGGATAGTTAAGGCAGGCTTAGTTAAGTGTCTAACAAACCGAGCAGTAGCACTAAGAAGTACATAAAAAGACCTAAATGATGAAATAAAACAGATAGAAGAGGCGTTGGTGTTAAATAACTATCCTATGAAATTCATTAGGAGGATCGGAAAAAAAGTAATCTATGTAGGTGAAGAGAGAGGTTGATTACTGAATCCTGCCTGGTTAATCGAGTCTACATTCAACACAACACATGCAACAGAAATGACTCAATGCAAATACCAGAAATATGCATGGAAGATATTATTACCACCAGTCAGTCAGTCAGTCAGTGAAATCAGAGGAGGATAATAAATAATCTTAAATTGTATTCTATTTCAATTCAATTCACGTACATCACAACATTCTAACAAGTTACTTATTATGACTAAAAAGAAAAACACTCGTCTTATTTCCCATCTGATTGTAATTGATCAATAACACTCATATTATTATTATTTCTGAATGTACATTATCCCATATTACTGATTTGTATTCAAATGTCTAATCATCAATTCCACACATGTATATAAATGAAGGAAGACGAAAGTTGTGTGAGTGAGTGACTTGATATGATTATGAGTGGCAATAATAAATTGTGCTCGAAGCGTGTGGTCGCATCAGTTAATATTACTTACTGTATAACACTACACACACAGTGTGTGACAGTTTATCAAAATAAAATCTTATCCATAATGGAGCAAGTAATTTAGAAGGGGTCATTTTCAAATTATTGTGTTTCTCATCTCATTTTGCTATTTCTGTTTAGCAACAAATGCCATCTTTGAGTAGATCTGTCATGCATTTTAAAGGCTTTATTCGTAATGATAGTAATAATAACAATTATATAGTAAAAATATTCATTTAGACATCTATAAAACACAAAATATTTGAGCCATCAAAGAATATCCTTTTCTATAAATGTCATTCTAGCCGACATTTTGTTTGCGAAACTAGAAAGAAATGGGCCTTTGAAGGATGTTATTAATGAACTTGAATTCTATTGTCGGTACATACATGGATGATAGATTTTTGATTATGAAAAACTGAGGTCGGAGCAGAGAAAATCCTGGATAAATTTAGCGATGTTCATCCCGAAAATACATTTTCCTAACGAGAAAGTTAGGGGCTCTAGTATCTCATTTCTATAGATCTTTATGACCAGAAAAGAGGATGGCACAATACGAAGAAGTGTTTATAGAAAGCCTACATCAACTGACTGTCAGTATACTCATTTTCTCAGCTTCGTGCCCTTCTTGAAACACAAACGCAATCTGATAAAGTGCTTGGTCCACCACAGAGCAAGAGCAATCTGCTCGGATGAATGTTTTGATGAGGAACTTAATAATATGAAACGGTTGATGAGTGAAAATGGTTATCCAGAAAAGTTTATTGATAAGAATATGAATCTAAAATCAAGGCAGCCCAAGGTACACCAACAGTTCCGAGGCAAAGGAAGGCCTTATTCTTACAAATGCAGTCAGTTCCTTGGGGACAACATCAGCGAGATACTAACACAGCTGTGCCTTAGAAATGAGGCGGTAAAACGAAGAGCATTCAGTGCTGCTGCCGAATTACGCTGTGTCTTCAAAACCACTCACCACTCTCTTGCGTTCGTTCGGGAGTAAAAGACAAACTGCCTAATTTCGCCTCTTCCTTGTGTGTGCATCTACCAATTTTACTGCTCTCCTGTGGAGTGAGCTTGTTACTTGCATAGGCCGTACACAATTAAACGTGTTTCTCGTCCAATTTCCCAACATCACCCACCCTGAACAGTGGTTGGTTGGTTGGTTAAGTAAAGAACAAACAAAATCTATTCTCATCGCTATTCTATTCTATCTCACTCATCTTGTGGATACAGAACACAAGACTGATTGCTTTCAGGGTCATTTACCGCATATCAACAAATCTCAATTTCACCTTAAGAGTTCGACTACCAAATATTGCTGACGCTGCTTGGCTGGCCGTGTTGGGATCCATATTAACAAGCCTAATTTGTGCATCCAAAAGAAGTTGGTTGGTTCAGATATTATCCTTACCCGATCGGCCATCTAGGTTTGAATGATCGATCCTGAATTTTTGTGGAATTTTCCTAATTTTAGTTGATATTCTATTTGCTACTATATCTTTATTAATATTATTACTATTATTATCATTATAATTTAAGCATCTTTAATGAACTGTGGTGATTCCATTGTGATCTTACTTTACAAATCGATATTATTTAAAAAGCACACTAATATTGTTATTGACTACTAATCTAGAATATTCTATGTATATAAACATGCAAATATAGATATAATTGTAGAGCGAAAAGGGGTTGAGGAATTTATCAAAAAGGATATTCTTTGCTGGCTCAATTATATTTTGTGTTTTATAGACATTAGAATGAATACGAAATATCAAAATGAAGGACATGTTTTTTTAAACAGAACACGCATACTTTGTGATTTTACAATCATTAAAACGCAATGCCTGTTAAAAAAAGAAAATGAGCAGGAAACAACAGGAAACTTGAGCAGAAAATACATTGTCGAAATAAAAGAAAAAAAACTGGTTTCTCGAGCATATATATATATATGCGCAAGACAACACCAACAATAAGGAATCTAAATCATCAGTAGTAATTCCATACAAGGAAGGAACCTCGGAAACCACCTTACAGTGGAGAATTCTTAACTAGCCAGGTAGGAATAAAAGTGGCATTCAAACCAACCAAAAACTCAATTAGAAACATGCTTTGTAGGTTAAAGGATCAATCCTGCCAGTGGAGCCTTTAACCGACAAAACAATTCAGTTTATCTAATACCCTATCTGCAATGATTGTCGGGTCAAATACATAGGTCGAACTAGTAGAACAGGGTCAGTCAGTGAGTCAGACTAGCCGAGCAGCATAAACACCTAGCAGCGAAATCTACATTAGTTGACCCGAATAAGATAAGAAATCTAGAGAATAGTTCAGCAGCTATCGCAAGCACTACATCCAATTACACACAACCACTATACAATAGACTGGATGGGATAGGATGACAGTTATGAAATCTAATACAACCAACAGAGTGGCGTGTGGTGAAGATTGGTCGAATCAACTGCAAATCAACAGGTGTAATAGGAATGATTCAACACCTGTCCAGTTGGACATCTGGAAAATTCTACTACCCCAATGACGACTACAAATAGGAGAGAACAAAGAAGACTATTAAACCGACTGGTTAGCATCAATCAGTCTTGTGTTGTGTATCCACAAGAAGATGAGTGAGATAGAATAGCGCTGCGAATAGATTTTGTTTGTCCTTTACTTAACCAACCAACCACTGTGCATAGTGGGTGATGTTCAGAAATTCGACGAGAAGCACGCCTACTATATCTTTATTATTATTATTATTGTAATTTAAGCATCTTTAATGAACTGTGGTGATTCCATTGTGATCTTACTTTACAAATCTAGAATATTCTATGCATATAAACATGCATATATAGATATAATTGTAGAGCGAGAAGAGGAGGAGGAATTTATCGAAAAGGATATTCTTTGCTGGCTCAATTATATTTTGTGTTTTATAATAATAATACCTCGCTACAATACCTTATCATAATTTGTCTTATTTTATTTTTTAATATGTAGCTCTGACTATTTAAAGAGCAAGGAGATCGAATTACAAGAGTTATTGACTGTAAGTTTTGATATTATTGTTATTATTTGTTTTAATGACTTGGTCTTCTTTATTGTCATTGAATACTTTCTGTTTTCGATATAAATATATATAAATAGGCGAAACTCTACTTTCTCTAGCTCTCCCTCTTTCCCCCTCGGGCGCTCCCTTCGTTTCATTCTTTCTAGGTATAAAGACGATATTAATGAGGTGAAATGAAGAAGTTATCTCCCTCTTTTTCTTTTTAGGGCGTTACCTTCAACTGTACAAAAAATGTAAATGATGTTTTCAATTATAGAATACACACAACATAGCGCTGTGCATAACAGAACAGTCATTCATTTTTGAGTAGCCGGCATTATTTATTGATTGATTCTGTTGTGTTCAATGGTTTCAAGGCAGGTAACCCTTCAAAAAGAAGAAGCTCTGGATCCAGATTTACTGCTTACTGCTGGCAGTCGTCTGCTGAGGTGTATATGCAGTAATTCCATATTAGTTTGTTTATTAGATGTATCACACACAGTCAGTCAGTGAGTGAAACAGTATTAGTATTTACTGGATGACAAAGTTGTTTCAAACACAATTCATCATTATTGCTGTTCATAATCATACACATCACCAATTATTATAATCACACGACTTCGAAACTTGAGTCTGATAGTTTTCTTTGTTCTCTCCTATTTGTCGTCGTTGGGGTAGTAGAATTTTCCAGATATCTGGATGGACAGGTGTTGAATCATTCCTATTACACGTGTTGATTTGCAGTTGATTCGATAAAAATGTCATCTTATCCCATCCAGCCTATTGTATAGCTGGTTGTGTATAACTGCATGGAGTGCTTGCGATAGCTGCTCAACTATTCTCTAGATTTCTTATCTTATTCGGGTCAACCAATCTAGATTTTGCTGCTAGGTGTTTATGCTGCTCGGCTAGTCTGGCTCACTGCCTCTGTTCTAATAATTTGACCTATGTATTTGACCTGACAATCATCGCAGTCAGGGTATTAGATAAACTGAATTGTTTTGTCAGTTAAAGGCTGCACAGCATTTATCTTTTAACCGATAAAGTTTGTTTCTAATTGAGTTTGTGATTGGTTTGAATTCCAGCAGCCACTTTTATTCTTGCCTGCCTTGTTAAGAATTCTCCGCTGTAAGGTGGTTTCCGAGGTTCCTTCCTCGTAAGGAATTACTACTGATGATTTAGATTCCTCACTGTTGCTGTTGTTATCATCTAATGTAACAGGAAGCTGTATTTATGGAATCACCTGCAAATACCTCTAATGGGAATGATTCAACACCTGTCCACCCCAATATCTGGAAAATTCTACTACCCCAATGACGACGACAAATAGGAGAGAACAAAGAAAACTATATAAAACTCAAGTTTCGAAGTCGCGCGATTTTGTTCGAAACATTTTTGTCATCCAGTAAATACTAATACTGTTTCACCCACTGACTGACTGTGTGATACATCCATCTAATAAACAAACTAATATGCGATTACATACAACCACAGCTCTGAAGTTCAACACATGTTTTAGTGTATCTGCAGCAGTCTCTGAGGAAATAATGCCTCTTGAACCGGTATCATTCAATAATTGCAGTGTGAGACATTACTACTACTGCTACTATCCGGCTTATTGAATAAGTGTATCCAGGCACAGGGTTGTTCTTTTGTCGATTACCTCCAACCACATTAACATGAGTTTCAAATTACGCACCATGATGGTAAGTCATCTATCTAGCTAGGTGGTGGAAACACACTTGTAAACTTGTAGGCCTATAGAATTCAGCCTATCAGCGCATTGAATGCTAAGGACTGGACACACACGACGTAAAATAAACTGCCATATTGCGAAGTTTTATAATACAACTGGGATTAAGTTTCCCTCTTTTTATTGGCAAAGTTCAACAAAGTAGCGTCGTCCCATTGGATGCTAATGCACACGAGTGACCTTCAGCCGACCAATCATAAAAATGAGGAATTTTTGCACAGAAAATGATGTATATTTAATAATAATAATAATGATAATAGCTTTATTCCAAACAGTATTTGTGGTACAGGTATGGAATTTTCAGCCAGCGTGCATTACAATATTCCATCTAATTACCTCTTAAATTTTATAAGATTTTAAAAATAAATAAAAAAGAACAGCGTTGCATTCATATTTTAAACAATGCACCACAGGAATATGAAATGTAAAATCAGTGTGTAATAGGAGATGTGAACAACAATATAATAGTAACAAAGAAAGGAAAGCAAAAGCTAATGGGAACTATTTGTTAGAGTGCCACAGTAAGTTGATTGTGTCATGCCTAACGGATTTCTCATCACATAACAGCTGTGCTAGATAAGGTATTGTAGAGTTTTTGTACTTGGTAGTCCTAGCATATAGCCTCCTATAGTTGCTTCTAGTTCTACCAGATGAAATGCAGGGAGAGAGCTGCGTATAGAGAGGGTGTTCGGGGTCTGATAATATAGAATTCGTTAGTTTCTTACATGACGTTATATGTCTATCCACAATGGTGTTAACCAGTTGGTTTAACGAAATCCCACTTCCCCTACTAACAGATTTTAGTGCCCTATGCAGCAAAGCAAAGTCTTTCTTAAGTAGTCCAGGAAAGGGCAGGAAAGGGGAGCAGTGAAGAGGGATGGGTAGAATACAAGAATACAGGACAAACTGAGAAAGCAAGGCCTGCTTTATACCAGACTGCCTTAACTTCCTAACGTAGAACGTTAAGCGAAACATCTTCCTAGTAACTAGCAAGATGTGAGAGTACCAGGAAAGATCGGAGGAAATACTAAGTCCAAGGTACTTGACATTAGATTTGATTTCAACATCTATGCCGTCTATGATAGTGGGACCATATGAGCTAGCTAGTTGCTGCAGGTCGCGTTTTCGTCTGAAAGTGAAATTGACTACCTGACATTTAGACGGATTCAGCTTAAGACCGTTCGAAGAGGACCACTGACTAATTTCCGACGGAAAGTTATTTTAAATTTGGAACAGTCTGACTGAGAGTTGACAGGCATGGTCAAGTAAATGCTCGAAAACACATTATAAACAGGTTATCTTTCTTTATCTGACATGACTTAAAAATACGTCCCAGTTATATAAATTGGGAGTTTCGCCTACTAAGTTAGACTAGTTTCTGTGTAATGTATTCACCGAGGTGACGGAAGAAGAGCTGTTTTTGTGAATCGTTTATCTCTCTTATCCTGTTTTGCGTGCAGTCTTCCCCAAATGCCGTCGGCTGAATTACTATGGTTTCCAGTAAGAGGATCGACGACCACATACCAGGAAAATGTGGATAAGAAAACAAAAAATAAATTAAATGACATCAACTATAAATCTATTCCTAATCGTAACGCAAACCTTAATCCTGACCCTAATTACAACTCTTATCCTAACCGTAGACCTAACCTTAATTCTAATTATGACCTTGACCCTAATCCTAATCCCAATACTTACCTTAACCCTAATGCTAACCCTAACGAGCTATTAAGACATAGTCCAAATAGTACTTAAAAACATGATCTGGGTGAAATTTGCTGCTTATTTGATAAATATCGTTGATAGCGTTCAGATATGATAATGACAGGTGTCGTCGTCAGCCAACGACTAGCATGCGTTCAAGGTCATTGGAGCGTTCGCACTCCTGGGACGCTATTGTTGAACTTATTCTTATTTTTTTTTAATCCCCAGTTTGATCGATTAAGCAATAAAAAAATATATCACGTGATTGAAAGAGGTGTAAGTGACAATTTCAGTAAACCGTATTGTTGAAGAGTCCCAAACTTGGGCTGACGAAACAGCTGGCTGTCCAGTACTCCTTGGTTGGTTTTCCAGTGGTTCTCTAACTGATGTCAGCTCATGATGAAATCCTCCATGCAAATCATAAAACTATCTGTTCCTAGGATGAATTTTAGAAAAACTAAACTGAGAGTGGAAAAGTGGGAAGGCAGGTATAGTGGAACTTAACACTATGTGTTATTCAAATGAACTTTCTGTCGTCAAGATTTGACAGAATAGTTCTAAAATATTTGGGCGCCGAGTGAGAAGTAGACATTTGTAAAAAATTATTATATTTGTAAAATCTCAGCGAGATTGAAATGAGTAATTCCAACGTTTCCTGTGTACGTCGGAATCTGGTCCGAACTTTTTCAGGGAAATTAATCGAAATTAACATAACATAGGTTTATATATAGAAAGGAACATCACTTGTTTTTAAAAACTTTGTCCAATCATGAGTCATTCAGCAGGTATCAACAAGTACAATAAACAAAATTGTATGAGCTGTGATCAAAATTTGACCTCGGACTTACAAATATCGGTCTACCTTTGTTAAACACTTTAAACAGAGTGTGTGTGGGTAAACAGGTGTAAAACATTTCTTAACGTCTCCATCAGAAGGCAGAGACACCCACGAATTAGTGATACATATCTACTTTTATTTATGAATCAGGATTTGCTATGCATCAGCTAACACACATCACGCCTTCATGTCTGTTCAAACTGTTAGTATATCTAGAATTTTATGATTGAACGTATATTTTCAAAATTATGGTGTTTAGGATTAGAGTTTAGTTGAAGAGCACCCTGTCGGACTTATTGCTATGTCTTCTTCTCTCTGAAGATTGAGCTGCTTTATTCGACCTACTGGAGGGTTGTCAGGTGACTCGACAGCTACGGATTTAGGGTATATGCATTTTTCTATTGGAGACAACGGAGAGTGAATACACACGATGATTGTGCCAATTACATAGTTTCTTTGTTAATTTAATTCGATTGAAAAAGAATAATTCAAATGAACTGTGTCTGTCGTCAAGATTTGAGAGAATATTTCTAAAATATTTGAGCGCTGTGTGAGAAGTAGATATTTATAAAAATTATATATATATATACATATATATAATATTTGTTTATTGTACTTGTTGATACCTGCTGAATGACTCATGATTGGACAAAGTTTTTAAAAACAAGTGATGTTCCTTTCTATATATAAACCTATGTTATGTTA